ATAAATTCAATGTTTCCTAAAACTTGTCTCTAATTTCCTTGAAGGAAGAAATGAAGTCCATCTTCTTGGAAACGTACTAAAAAACTCAGTACATTAAAAATGAGGGGGAAAAAATGGTTCATAGGTTGTATATTTCTTTTTTCTATTCAAAATGAAAAAAGCTTTGAGTTTCATTGAGAAAAATACATATTCTTATGGCTTATTTTCCTATTTTATTAAAGATTAAAACATCAGTGAGAAAATTATTACTGGGTTAGAGTGACTCTACTCAAAACATGAGGCACTTCATCTGAACTCACGCTCCAAGGCCTAGGAGAGGCCCTATAGGAACTGACCTCCTGGCCTGCTACTCACACCCCCGCCCCCCCTTTCACTCTGCCCCAGGCACACTGGCCCCTCAGCACCATCCCTGAAACCTGCCAGACAAGCTGGTGCCTTGAGGCGTTAATACTCACTGTTCCTTCTGCCTGCAATGCTCATTCCTCTGGAATGCTCGCCCTGCTTAAATCTTTCTAAACGGCCCCTTCCTGATCACTCCAGCTAAAGCTGCAGAACACTCCCTCTTCCTTACTTCCTAGCCTTTCCAGTTTTATTTTTCTCCATAACAACTATAACAATCTAATCATCTGTTTTTTTAAATTACTCATCTAGTGGCATTAGAATAAATATTTTTATTTGTTTTACTCACAGTTATAGTCCCACTATCTAGAATAGTATCTGGCAATTAGAAAGTACCCAATACATTTGGAATACAGTAAATGTATACATAATACAAGAGAGTAGACAGAGCGGTGCAAATTTAACATCTCTAAACTAAATCCAAGAAGTTCTTTCAATCGATAGCATTTTCTACTTCTTTACATTCAAATTCTCTCCAAGAACTAAATTCTGTTTATCAGAAATAGCCAAGCTCCAAAGCTACTCTAAAAGTGGTTTTAAATCAGGTCCCTTTTACCATCCCCAAATACTTATGCAATTGCTTTGAAATGACACATCACTATATAAACAAATGTTTCTCAAGCATTATTTTTGTGGCGAGCACTATGGTTTCAAAAAAAACCTCCTTCCATTAAAGAAACATGGACTGTCCTCAGGGGGAATCTAATTCCTAACATAACCCCAAAACCACCCACATTTTGTTTAAAATAAATGGAAGCTATACCAGGGATGCCAAAAAATGTATACACATGACTTGTATTCATCTTTTGTTATTGGTATATATTATTACAATTTTAATACAGTTTTTTTCCTTTCATTTTTTTCATTTTCCTATACATTTTTTTGGCACCCTCTGTATAACCCAGTGGTTACAGAATAAAACTTTTTTTTTTAATTTAAGTAACAAGACTAAAATGACTTTCACTTATGCTTCAAATCATTTCAACAAGGTATTTTTAATTTTTCCACCTGCCCTCCACAGCTTGGTTACAATGTTATTCAATGAGGCACTACAGGGAGTGTCTCCCTGGTTACAAAACCTGTCTTTGTTACAAAACCTAGTGTTTTCCTTCAGCAGTGATGGCTGCCAATAGGGAAAGGGGGCTTTTGAACCATGCTAAAAACTTCCCTTTGAAATGGAGGTCAGTGGTTCTCAGTCTCCTTGTATAGTATTCATTGTAATACAACTTAGCACTCACATGATTCATTTTAATTGTTACCTTCTGTCTTAATGCAGGTGTCACACTGAGTTTTTTTGTAGACAGAAACCATGTCTGCACATGAAGAAAGGTTAAATACTGGTTAACAAACCAAAAGTTAATTATGGTTTCAAATGCGCTATCAGTAGACAAATAGGAGAAAATTTAGGATCCAGGTCCTAGCATGAGAGAATTTACAAAAGGCGTTTATGAATGTTATTGTTTCAACAACTATTTACAATGTGTCTGACTCGACACACATGCATTACCTTACCATTTTAAATTATTTTTTGTGACTCACAATTTCCATACTTAGATAACTTCAAAATCAATTGAGATTGACCATTCAATTTACAACAGCTATTAATTCACTTCTAGCTATTTGGTTTGGGAAGACATAGAGAAGCAAATTCAGATGTTCAAGGATGCCCCTAATAAGTATGCAGAAATAGTTATAGCTATCAGTTTTCCCTAAAATAGGGACTTCAAATTATTAAAGGAGTTAGAGAAGTGAAATGCAAATTAATACATTTATCTTCTAGAGTCTTCCTCTGTCCAGGACTTCTAACTCAGAGACCATTTTTCAGGCAGCTGGACACATTTCTCTCATAATAGATTTTAGATTTCTCGCAGTGATGATTACGTTCAATGTAATTTTTTAAAATGTCTTTTTCTAAAACCATGTAACTGGCCGCAAAGTAGTTCTGAGTGAAGCTTACTAATTATGAATGAATCTATGAAA